CTTGCTGTGCATGTGGTCGTCCTTGCTGTGTATGTGGTCGCCCTTGCTGTGTACGTGGTCGTCTTTGCTGTGTATGTGATCGCCCTTGCTGTGTATGTGGTCGTCCTTGCTGTGTATGTGGTCGCCCTTGCTGTGTATGTGGTCGTCCTTGCTGTGTATGTGGTCGCCCTTGCTGTGTATGTGGTCGTCCTTGCTGTGTATGTGCTCGTCCTTGCTGTGTATGTGGTCGTCCTTGCTGTGTATGTGGTCGTCCTTGCTGTGTATGTGGTCGCCCTTGCTGTGTATGTGGTCGTCCTTGCTGTGTATGTGGTCGTCCTTGCTGTGTATGTGCTCGTCCTTGCTGTGTATGTGCTCGTCCTTGCTGTGTATGTGCTCGTCCTTGCTGTGTATGTGGTCGTCCTTGCTGTGTATGTGGTCGCCCTTGCTGTGTATGTGGTCGTCCTTGCTGTGTATGTGGTCGCCCTTGCTGTGTATGTGCTCGTCCTTGCTGTGTATGTGCTCGTCCTTGCTGTGTATGTGGTCGTCCTTCCTGTGTATGTGGTCGTCCTTGCTGTGTATGTGGTCGTCCTTGTTGTGTATGTGGTCGCCCTTGCTGTGTATGTGGTCGTCCTTGCTGTGTATGTGGTCGTCCTTGCTGTGTATGTGGTCGTCCTTGCTGTGTATGTGGTCGTCCTTGCTGTGTATGTGGTCGTCCTTGCTATGTATGTGGTCGCCCTTGCTGTGTATGTGGTCGTCCTTGCTGTGTATGTGCTCGTCCTTGCTGTGTATGTGGTCGTCCTTGCTGTGTATGTGGTCGTCCTTGCTGTGTATGTGGTCGTCCTTGCTGTGTATGTGGTCGTCCTTGCTGTGTATGTGGTCGTCCTTGCTGTGTATGTGGTCGTCCTTGCTGTGTATGTGGTCGTCCTTGCTGTGTATGTGGTCGTCCTTGCTGTGTTGTATCAGTGGACGAAAATGTCTGTGTGGACGTTTTTCTTGTTTGTTTCCGTCTGTGTTAAAAGGTTTTCTCTTAACTTTGACTTTTTTAACTTTGTACTATTAAATTTATGTTTCTTGATAATGTTCCTGTTTAAATGTTGTTTAATATTATCACTGGGATTATTTTGGCTTAAAATATATTTCTTATTATTGAAGGAAGAAAATGTACAAGGATCAGAATATTCTCTTTATTATATTTAAAATCTATTAACAGAAGATACTTATTAGTATATATAATATATATATATATATATATATATATATATATATATATATATATATATATATATATATATATATATATATATATATAATATATATATATATATATATATATATATATATATATATATATATATATATATATATATATATATATATATATATATTTATATATGCAAAACAACCACTCTGAAAGAATAGAGAAATTCCAAGCGTTTTCGTGACTACTCACATTATCAAGGAACTATGAAAGTAAAGCATCCAAGGAAGCTATATAAGGGGTCTGGCCAACACCTCACTATCAGATCCCACAACGGTGAGGTGTTGGCCAGACCCCTTATATAGCTTCCTTGGATGCTTTACTTTCATAGTTCCTTGATAATGTGAGTAGTCACGAAAGCGCTTGGAATTTCTCTATTCTTTCAGAGTGGTTGTTTGGCATATTCTGAAATCACCTGTTTACTGTGATCTTATTGCATATATATATATATATATATATATATATATATATATATATATATATATATATATATATATATATATATATATATATATATATATATATATATATATATATATATATATATATACACACACACACTCACCTCCTTCCCCTACAAGAAATTAGACTCTTAGCAAGATCCCAGAATTTAAGATTCTCGTTCTGGTGGCTCAGTCAATTCAGTATAAATAATTTAGTAAAGGGAATAATTACGAGTTTTGCTAACTGACTATTTATTTTAGCATAATTAGGTGAATATTTATCCACTATTTTTTTTTTCATTTATGTATATTCAATTCAAAATCTCAGTGAAATTCACATACAAGGTTCATGTATGTTATCAGTTATGTGCGCGTCTCTGTGAGCGTATCTATGTATGCAAGTGTCAGGGTTTGTATATGTCTGTGTCCATGTTTGAATGTATTTAGGCAAATGCGTGTCTGGGTGTCTGCGTCACTGTTAAATATTACTCTCACACTGTACGTGTGAGAGTAATATTTAACTGTAAGACTGTAACTCCAACCTTCGTTAATACTGCATTGGACTGCCCCAAAATACCTTAAATATTATATTATTTCTCTCATCACTCTGTATGCTGAGTATTAATCTCATTACATAAGGCTTCAAAACATTATAATAACGTAGTATATATAATTTTTAAATGTTATATAACAGCGTTGTAAAATATACGAAAGTATTCCATTCACTCTCGATTCTACCAGATAAGACAGACCAAATCCTAAAATGTTTCATTTGCGAAGAATCTGGTGTATATTTTGATGGTCATTTCCTGGCGGTGTGAAAACAGTAAGTAATCCCGACACATAAGAACGAGCACACACACACACACACATACACACACACGCACACAACCGAGGAGGAGGTGAACACGCTGCTAAGTGAAATAGATACCTCGAAGGCAGTGGGACCGGACAACATCTGTCCATGAGTCCTGAGAGAGAGAGCAGAGGCGCTGTGTGTACCATCACCAACAATCTTCAGCACCTCTAGAGAAACAGAGAAACTACCTGAGGTGCGGAAAGCAGCAAATGTAGTCACAATTTTTAATAAAGGAGACAGACAATGTTAAACTACAGACCACTGTCACTGATAAATATAATATGCAAAATCATAGAAAAGATTATCAAGAAAAGAGTGGTGGAGCATCTAGAAAGGAATGAGCTTATACACGATAACCAGCACGGGATCGGGAAGAAAAATCTTATATAACAAACATGCTGGAGTTTTATGACAAAGTCACATAAGTAAGACAAGAGAGAGAGAGAGAGGAGTGGATAGACTGTATTCTCCTGCACTGTAAGAAAGCTCTCGACAGAGTTCCACAAAAGAGATTAGTTCAACAGCTAGAGGAGCAGGTAGGAATAACAAGAAAGGCACTGCAATGGATCAGAGAATACATGACAGGAAGGAAACAATGAGTGATGGTACGTGACAAGTTGTCAGAGTGGGCGCCTGTGACGAGCGGGGTTCCACAGGGGTCAGTCCTAAGACCGGTGCTGTTTCTGGTATATGCCAGTGACATGACGGAAGTGATAGATTCAGAGGTGTCCCTATTTGCGGACGATATGAAGCTAATGCGAAGAATTCAAACGGATGAGGATCAGGTAGGAATACAACGTGATGTGGACGGCCTGCAAGCCTGGTCCAGCAACTGGCTCCTGGAGTTTAACCCTACCAAGTGCAACTTCATGAAGATTAGGGAAGGTCAAAGAAGACCGCAGACGGAGTACAAGCTAGAGGGCAAAGGCTACAAAGCACACTCAAGGAAAAGGATCTTGGAGTGAGTATCATACCGAGCACATCTCATGAGGCGAACATCAACAAAATAACTGTTGCAGGATATGGGCGCCTGGAAAACCTAAGAATAGTGTTACGATACCTAAGTAAGGAGTCATTCAATACCGTGTACGTCAAACCCATATTGGACTATGCAGCACCAGTATGGATCCCACACCTGGTCAAGCATGTCAAGAAATTAGAGAAAGTGCGAAGGTTTTCAACAAGACTAGTCCCGGAGCTGAGGGCTATGTCCTATGAGGAGAGATTAAGGGAACTCAACTTGACGACACTGGAGGACAGGAGGGAGAGGGGGGACATGCCAGCGACATACAAAATACTGAGAGGAATTCACAAGGTGGACAGGGACACAGTGTTTCAGAGATGGGACACAGCAACAAAGAGAGAGTGATGTAGTGGAGACAGGATCCATATATAGCTTTGAGAAGAGGTACGATAAAGCTCATAGAGCATGGAAAGAGTTGACCTAGTGGCGACCAGCGAAGAGGCGGGACCAAGAGCTGCAAACACAAATCGGTGAGTAGAATTAGGTGGGTACACACACACACACACACACACACACACACAGAGAGAGTAATCAGGAAGTGGAATAGTTTGGGAAGCTATTTAGTGGAGGCAGGATCCATAAATAGCTTTAAGTAGAGGTATGATAAAGCTCACGGCTCAAGGAGAGTGACCTAGTAGCGACCAGTGAAGAGGCAGGGCCAGGAGCTTGGACTAGACCCCTGCAACCTCATCTAGGTGAGTGCAACTAGGCGAGTACAACTAGGTGAGTACAACTAGGTGAGTACACACACGATGTGAGAGGCAGCGTACAGATACCGACACACACGATGTAATTCAGTGTACAGATATCAACACACACGATGTCAGGCAGTGTACAGGTGTCGACATCAAGCTTCATTAAGGTGTCCGACAAGACTGTCACTCTCAAGGCTTCAATTTAGTGTTGTCAATCAGTTTACTAAACGTGCTGAGCCAGCCCATATTGGGCTGCCACTCTTGATGGTAATGCCATTCAGGAGTTAGTTAGCTTGTTAGGTTTGGAGCCTTTCGACTACGCCGTGCCTTATTAAGGCTGCAATTTACTCGTACATTGACGTTCAGGACTACTTTACCCCAAAAAATATGTACTGAATAAAGAGATACTTATCTCTCAATATATATATATATATATTATATATATATATATATATATATATATATATATTATATATATATATATATATATATAAAAATATATATATATATATATATAAATATATATATATATATATATATATATATTTTTTTTTTTTTTTTTTATATAGGATGGGGTCCACCTCTGGTGTAAATTGTGGGACCCATTGCCTCGGAGAAGTGCATAAAAAGACTTCAAGGAAGAATATTTGGATTTCATATATATATATATATATATATATATATATATATATATATATATATATATATATATATATATATATAATATATATATATATATATATATATATATATATATTTACCGAGTCGCGTTTAGTGAACAGAGGATCGAGCCTACAAAACTCCATACGTTTAACGACCTACATATGACCAGTGTTTTGCTTTTTCACGAAATAAAATTTTAAATCTCGTATGGCTTTAAAAAAATATCCGGTTTATGTTCTTTTCTTTGTCACGAGGTGCTAAACCCGTGTGAGCCATTCAGTCTACCAACAAGGCTCCATCCACCGCCCGGTCTCCGATCAGCCAGGCTGTTATATCATGCCTTATGTGTTATGGTTATTCTTATAGATGTTAATTTATCTAGTTGAAAATAGTGACTCAGATTATTATTATTATTATTATGTGTGCTTTAGGCACTAAACCCGTGTGGGTCGAAGAAGGATCCAGCATCAAGCTCTTATTCTATGGAATGATCCATACTGGTTTAGCTCTTTAAATTAGCAAACCCATGTGGGTTACTCAGAGCGAGAATTAGTGCATTATTATTACTATTATTATTATTAATATTATTATTAGTATTAGTATTATTATTATTATTATTATTATTATTATTGTTGTTGTTGTTGTTGTTGTTGTTGTTGCTGATATTATTTTTACTATAATTTTCATTATTATTATTATTATTATTATTATTATTATTATTATTATTATTATTATTATTATTATTATTATTATTATTATTATTTTCATTATTATTTTCTTTATGTACATGTGCAGTATTTACATTCGAAAAAAATGTGTAAGAGAACTTTCGGAGACTTTATCCTCGGTGGGGTAATCGTGACCACTCAGGCTGTTGGTGACTCCTCTTGGAGGCAGAGGTATATTATCCCAGGAAGTTCAAGAAGTCAGGGAACTCAGGAGGGAAGACGTTGGGGCTGGTGGAGCCGCAGGTGAAGGAGTCAGCATTGAGCGTCAGGTTGTCGGGACACGAGCAGACATGACCGAAGGCCGCTTCAGGGGACAGCAAGCACAGGTGACTGCAGGAACTCGTGTTGCAGGGATTTTCAGCCTGTAGAAGGTATGAAAAAAATAAAGATATAAATAATTACCAGTTTATCGCTGGACACTGGTGCGTGATGTTGCTCCAGCCTGGGCTCCAGCCTGGGCTCCAGCCTGGGCTCCAGCCTGGGCTCCAGCCTGGGCTCCAGCCTGGGCTCCAGCCTGGGCTCCAACCTGGGCTCCAGCCTGGGCTCCTGCCTGGGCTCCAGCCTGGGCTCCAGCCTGGGCTCCAGCCTGGGCTCCAGCCTGGGCTCCAGCCTGGGCTCCAGCCTGGGCTCCAGCCTGGGCTCCAGCCTGGGCTCCAGCCTGGGCTCCAGCCTGGGCTCCAGTCTGGGCTCCAGCTGTGTTGTAAATTGTGGTTTTTACCTCCTTTGATATTTAGTAGTGCTAACCTTGAGTTAGTAATCGCACTCCTAAGGTAAACTGTATTGGTCTAAAACTCCGATGTATGAACCAGGATACTACATACAATTAGTTACTTCTTAGTTGTGGTTAAAGTAACAGTTTTTTCAAGAAACACAGGAGAGAGCGAGAGAGTGAGAGAGAGAAAAAAAGAATGAAGAAGAAGCAACTGTCCTAAGAGCCACAGAGCGCTAGAGAAGGGCTCTCGTGAGCTGCGATACTGACAATAAACTGGCAGAGTATTTACTGGTTACTATAAAATATATGTGCATACTCTCCCTGTTTTTTGCCACAGTTGTAGCCCACGAGCGCTCCTTCCTGGCTCTCTTTGCCATTTCCTCCTTCTTAAGACTCTGATGCTCATCCCATGCTAACTTGTAACTAATCACATGAATAACAGTATATACAGCAACGTTTAGGACTAATGAGATTTCCTTAGCAAGCATGCCTACTAAAAGCCCAGGTCAGCATGCCTACTAAAAGCCCAGGTCAGCATGCCTACTAAAAGCCCTGGTCAGCATGCCTACTAAAAGCCCAGGTCAGCATGCCTACTAAAAGCCCTGGTCAGCATGCCTACTAAAAGCCCTGGTCAGCATGCCTACTAAAAGCCCTGGTCAGCATGCCTACTAAAAGCCCTGGTCAGCATGCCTACTAAAAGCCCTGGTCAGCATGCCTACTAAAAGCCCTGGTCAGTATGCCTACTAAAAGCCCTGGTCAGTATGCCTACTAAAAGCCCTGGTCAGCATGCCTACTAAAAGCCCTGGTCAGCATGCCTACTAAAAGCCCTGGTCAGCATGCCTACTAAAAGCCCTGGTCAGCATGCCTACTAAAAGCCCTGGTCAGCATGACTACTAAACGCCCTGGTCAGCATGCCTACTAAAAGCCCTGGTCAGCATGCCTACTAAAAGCCCTGGTCAGCATGCCTACTAAAAGCCCTGGTCAGCATGCCTACTAAAAGGCCTGGTCAGCATGCCTACTAAAAGCCCTGGTCAGCATGCCTACTAAAAGGCCTGGTCAGCATGCCTACTAAAAGCCCTGGTCAGCATGCCTACTAAAAGCCCTGATCAGCATGCCTACTAAAAGCCCTGGTCAGCATGCCTACTAAAAGCCCTGGTCAGCATGCCTACTAAAAGCCCTGGTCAGCATGCCTACTAAAAGCCCTGGTCAGCATGCCTACTAAAAGCCCTGGTCAGCATGCCTACTAAAAGCCCTGGTCAGCATGCCTACCAAAAGCCCTGGTCAGCATGCCTACTAAAAGGCCTGGTCAGCATGCCTACTAAAAGCCCTGGTCAGCATGCCTACTAAAAGGCCTGGTCAGCATGCCTACTAAAAGCCCTGGTCAGCATGCCTACTAAAAGGCCTGGTCAGCATGCCTACTAAAAGCCCTGGTCAGCATGCCTACTAAAAGCCCTGGTCAGCATGCCTACTAAAAGCCCTGGTCAGCATGACTACTAAAAGGCCTGGTCAGCATGCCTACTAAAAGCCCTGGTCAGCATGCCTACCAAAAGCCCTGGTCAGCATGCCTACTAAAAGGCCTGGTCAGCATGCCTACTAAAAGCCCTGGTCAGCATGCCTACTAAAAGGCCTGGTCAGCATGCCTACTAAAAGCCCTGGTCAGTATGCCTACTAAAAGCCCTGGTCAGCATGCCTACTAAAAGCCCTGGTCAGCATGCCTACTAAAAGCCCTGGTCAGCATGCCTACTAAAAGGCCTGGTCAGCATGACTACTAAAAGGCCTGGTCAGCATGCCTACTAAAAGGCCTGGTCAGCATGCCTACTAAAAGCCCTGGTCAGTATGCCTACTAAAAGCCCTGGTCAGCATGCCTACTAAAAGCCCTGGTCAGCATGCCTACTAAAAGCCCTGGTCAGCATGCCTACTAAAAGCCCTGGTCAGCATGCCTACTAAAAGCCTGGTCAGCATGCCTAAAAAGCCCTGGTCAGCATGCCTACTAAAAGCCCTGGTCAGCATGCCTACTAAAAGGCCCTGGTCAGCATGACTACTAAAAGCCCTGGTCAGCATGCCTACTAAAAGCCCTGGTCAGCATGACTACTAAAAGGCCTGGTCGCTGCAGCTGGACTCCTGATCAGTAGAAGTGAGGATTTTCATCATGTAGAACCTAGATTATTATTATCATTCTTCTTCTTCTTCTTATTAAGATTATTATTATTATTATTATTATTATCATCATATTCACGATGAAGTGGTTAACAGGTAAGTGTCATGCAGTGACAAAGGGATACGGAGGTAATTAGGGCTGATCTGAGAAAAGGAAGAAGTAGCCCTAGTTGGATCAAGGGCCATTAAGGGATAGTTTGTTAATAGATATCTTCCAGGATGGTGCTTTGATCCTAATAAAGGGCTCTTGATCCATGTTATCAATCTTAGTTTTTTCGTATTTACTAGAAGCGTGACAGTTATACGTTTAGCGATTTTTCATGAATAAATATTCTGGTTACACTTTATGTGAACTACTAAACCCGTGTGGGTCACTGAGAAAAAGAATTTGTGGAGGCTTAATCCTCCGTCAGTGTAAATCAGTCAATCAATCAAGGAGTGCAGGAAGCTTGATCCTCCGTTGACGTGGATCATTCAACAGGAGTAACAGTGAAGGCTCGACCATGCACCATAAGGGTCCTTCAATTCAATAATATGATGGGGATGTCGGCTCAAGCATCATCAACGCACCTGAGTGAAGCTATCGGGGTGGTGGATTGTGATCCAGGCGTTGAGACTGATGGGCTGGACGAGTGTCTGGAAGGGCTGGAGGTCTGAGCAGTCTCTCTTGCTACACATCATCACCTGAGCAGGAGGAATAGCAGGTCACAAGACATGTATATATATATATATATATATATATATATATATATATATATATATATATATAAAATATATATATATATATATATATATATATATATATATATATATATAATATAGTACCGAACAGGTAAAACTTGAGATTTTGGATTAAATAGCAAAGCTTTTCTTGCCGAATAAGGCAAACGAAAATTTGTATGTAATAATTTCGCAAAAATCATTCTGAACCTAACAAAAAACATATATTTCATTTTGTTTGTTTATCATTAAATTATTGTAAACTTATCTAGAATATATTTAGTTAGATTAGGCTAAATTAAATTGCGCTTGTAATAATAAGGTTAGGTAACTTGACTCAAGAAATCGTAATGACACGATTGCAAATAAACCATACCCCCGGCCGGGGGTTCAATCCCGGCCGGGGGTATGGTTTAAGGTTAGGTAAGTTTTCTAAGGTTCTTTAGGTACAAAATAATTAATTTTTACATTAACGTAAATTAAACAAAATATATCTTTAAACTTATAAGATAAAATTTTATAAAGGACTTAATTTTAAATGTCTTCTTGCTAATTGCTTTGCTCAGACCTCTACAACACAATTGTCTTCAAAGATTTGTTAAGTTATATCATGAATTAAAGAAGGATCTTTGACTTCACCTTACGAAACAGACTAAGTAAATGCGATAGTAATTATGGACAAGGTAGATTATAGTGGAAAAATTAACATGTTATTAGAAGACGGAGGAACTTACGTGCCTCTTAAATGTTGCAGGGAGGAGGACACTGGAGGTAATCGCAGTGTTATGTTAAAAACTAATGTGTAGTGTAAATATTATGTGAACAATTCGGGGCGTAGAAAGCCGGAGATGGTGTGGGGTTACGAAAGGAATTTCCCAGATGGAAGAGGTGTTGTTGTTAAGGCAGTCTGAACATATGGAGAAGATTTGAAACTCTGTGTGTTAGAAGTGATCAAGGTCCCAGGACCAAAACGTTCTCTTATAAATATTTTCTAGCGTTTGCTAGCGCGTTTTTTTTTTAAACCAAAAAAAAAGTAAGTAAACCCACACAGACCTGTTGTCGTGCGTTATCCGTCCAGTAGAGGCGCTCTTGCCAGAAGGTCATGTCAAAAGCATTCACGTTTCTCAGCATCACCGTCTCCACTGACTGCAAGAAAAATGTTACGAACATGTACGTATATATTTTTCCGTTTTCTCTCTCAGTTGTGGCTTGACAATGGTCCAGAAGAAACCAAAATGTTTAAAGTTTCCTTGAAGTATGGTTATCTGTGAATGTTTCAGGCTACTGTGAGTTTTTTGGGGTTTAATTTACAGTACTTCATTCTTGCAGCTTGTGAAAAACTTGTCTTAGATATTTTGTATATCTGCAATATTTTACGCATCCTGATGGGGTGGATGATCTTAAAAACGTTGACTTTTTTTTAGCAGCAGAAACAGCAAAAGCCGTTGCTAAAATAGTAGCAGCAGTTATAATTACAGTGGTTTATCTGGAGTTTATCTGGAGAGAGTTCCGGGGGTCAACGCCCCCGCGGCCCGGTCTGTGACCAGGCCTCCTTAGGTCAGTGTCCCAGGATGCGACCCACACCAGTCGACTAACACCCAGGTACCCATTTTACTGATGGGGAACATAGACAACAGGTGGAAAGAAACACGTCCAATGTTTCTACTCTGGCTGGGAATCGAACCCAGGCCCTCGCCGTGTGAAGCGAGAGCGTTAAAAACCAGGCCAGAATTATTATTATACATAGTAGAAATATTCAAAATAACAAAAAAGATATATCGGAACCATTATTTGAAACAATAGCAAAATAATTTTTAAAATATTGCAGTAATAGTAACAACAAAGAAACGCTGTAAATCCTAAGTTGTGGCTCACCGCATTTGATTCTGTAGCATAACTGAGGCCCTTCAGTAGCTGCATGCCATTGTCGATCCAGTAGAGGTGATGATTCACTTGGTCAAGAGTTAAGGCAGATGGTCGGGAGAGTATTGAGTCTGTTCCCACCACCTGTTGCAGACTTGAACCATCCATACCAGCACGGTGTATTGTCGACCCCTCCTTACTCGTCCAGTACATCATCCTGTTGTTTATACAACCTTGCTAACTGTTTTTCCCACTTCTGGAGAGGGACTTGATATATATATCGTGCCGAATAGGTAAAATTGGTCAATTAGCAACAACTCATTTGAAATTAAGTCCTTTCTAAAATTTTCTCTTTTACGTTAAAAGATATATATTTTTTTCATTTATAGTAATGTAAAAATTAATATTGTACCAAAAGAACCTTAGAAAATTTACCTAACCATATTATAACGAGTGCAGCTTAATTTAGCCTAATCCAACTAAATACATTTTAGATATGCTTACAATAATTTAATAATAAACAAACACAATGAAATATATTTTATTGCATGAACAAATTTTCGCTTGCATTATTCGGCAAGAAGAGCGTTGGTATTTAAGCCAAAATCTGAAGTTTTACCTATTCGGCACGACACACACACGCACGCACACACACACACATACACACACACACACATTATATATATGTATATGTATATATATATATATATATATATATATATATATATATATATATATATATATATATATACATATATATATATATACATATATATATACATATATATATATGTGTGTATATATATATATACATATATATATATATATATATATATACATATATATATATATATATATATATATATATATATATATATATATATATATATATATATATATATATATATATATATATATATATATGTCGTGCCGAATATGTAAAACTGGTCAATTAGCAAGAACTCATTTAAAATTAAGTCCTTTCCAAAATTTTCTCTGTACGTTTAAAGATATATTGTTTTCATTATTGTTAATGTAAAAAATATTTAATTTTTCTCCAAAAGAATCTTAGAAAACTTACCTAACCTTATTATAACAAGAACAATTTATTTTAGCCCAACCCAACTAAATATATTTTAGATTTGTTTACAATAATTTAATACTAAACAAACACAGTGAAATATATTTTTTTCTTTAGGTTCAGAATGATTTTGGCTAAATTATTGCATACACAAATTTTCACTTGTCCTGTATGGCAAGATAAGCGTTGCTATTTAAGCCAAGATGGCAAGTTCTGCCTATTCGGCACGACATATATATATATTCTCGTATATTTATGTGTGTGTGAAAATATACATAAACATTCTGTTCAATATACATATCGATTCTTAAGCCATATGAGATTCATACTTTTTTTTGAGGTCGAGTTGAATTGCTTTGGGAGAGTCGACACCCGAAGTAAAGGTGGTGTAGGTAGTACAGGAGGAAGAGGAAGATGCTGAAGACAGGCTGCATACAAGGATGCGCCTGTTGAGGCTGTCAACTGCATACACATTCCTCCCCAGCCAGTCAATAGCCACTCCCTCAAACCTCGCCTTGGCTACGTGGAATAGTAGGAATGCTTTATATTAAACCAGATTAACAATACGAATTTTAACAACGACAGTCGTTTATGTTAGTGGCATTCTAGGACTTCCGATGTCAAGGTGTAGGTGAAATGTGGAATTAATGAGTCTCATCTAATATGCTTCAAACATGAACAAAATTGATCCTGGCCAGTGACGACATAGTCATTTATAAACCATACCACGGGTGGGGTTAGAACCTGCGATCAGAGAGTCACAAAACTTCAGATCGTCGTGTCATTACGATTTTGTGAGTCATAGTCATTTATGTTCACTGTATGGAATACGTCATCCTGTGAGATGGTAATTCTCGAGTAATGGTATCTCCAGCTCTGCTGGAATAAAATCTTTGAAATTTCCGTTGTTGCTGAATTCTTACCTAACGACATCATTTCTACTCAGATTTCATCACTTAATGTGTGAAAATCACCCTGTGTGACGGAATGTGATAGGAAAACATATACATAGCATTATTTCCCTACTGTGAAACATTCATGTAGAATTGAGCAACAACACACTAATATTCAATTCTGCTTAATTATATAAAATAAAGTCTTACGTTCATTGATTACGAGCTGTGGCCCAGAGTGTTGTCCCCTCAGTTTCTGGCAGTACACCTGGCCAGCCTCACCCTCGCTCCAGCACGCTGCTTCCTCCACAGGGTCGTACGACACACCACGCTGACGAGAGTGACGGATGCTAGATTATATCACACCGGGAAGTGGACGACTTAAACATTCAAGACGTAACGTGCGGAACATCGCTCAGATGATGCAGTAGAAGCAGGAAAATAGGAAGAAGGAAGGTGAATGTGATGATCAGTACGTTGTGATGCTGTAAGGATCAACAGTCTGTCTGGCAACTTAACAATGGTATGGTTATACACACAAAATGTGGGAAACGTCACTTATGTACAGATTAGAACATTTATTAGAGGAAATGTTATGCCAGCTACGAGTGGCGTCTTCGGTCCTAATAGAGTGATAAGTAAGAATGAGTATATATAGTGGAAGGAGTCAGGAGGCACGCTACGAGAGGGTAGTAGTAGTAGTAGTAGTAAATTACAGCTACTGCTAGTTAGTTTAGTATCTTTATTATGCACCCCATACCCATCCTGTGGGCGGTAGTCAAAATATTACAGAGGTACATAATGGGTCCAGGGACTGGACCCCAAAGTTATTATGATAGGTGAACTAGGTACAAAGGTAATGAACTCCAGGTAGATCTGGTCACAATCATGGCAAGTTACAAAGGTAATGAACCATCTACACTCCTATACATGGTTACAATCATGAAAAAATTACAAAGTAATGAGCCACTCGTAGCTTGTCAACTGACTCCTGCTACTCTATACACTCGTTACTTTGTTATCTCTGTCAGGACGGAAGAAGCCACTAGTGGTGAAATATTTTCTCTAATAAATGTCCTGAACTACACATAAGTGTATTTTTCCAGTCTGTCTAACCTCGAGTAAGATGAGTTAATAGAGTCTTAGGTAAAAACGCAACAATATTTTATATAAGCGACTGCATATGCAAAGCTGCTTACGGTATTACTACTAAACTTCCTGGTGGAATGAAGAACAAAAGTGTTGAGAGGACCTTAGGCAGGGCTGCCAGACTGAAGGGAAAATCCCCCATTTGTCGGGAGGTGGGAGGGGGAGGGAATCGAAAGCCATGGGGTAAAAAAATGAGAGAAATTCTGCATGGGTGGGAAACAGGGGCGGGGAATATTTTTCAGACCGGGAGACTCGGGCTAAAAAAAAAAAGGTCAGGGGGGGATGATTTTTAGTCATTTCAAACTACCTCTTTAGTGTATAGATCGTGTCGAAGGTACTAATGAAGCCTTTTTGCGTTGGTTGTAAAAAGGGTTAGTGACATATCAACGCAAACTGGACAGAGGCTACTGCACCAGCCAGTACATTTATTACAGAAAACGTTACCTTGAGTGGTGCCTTCAGTCCTTAGGACTGCCACGAGAGGCAAAACGTTTACCCTGATAAATATCCTGAAGTGTGCATTAATGTCTTGATGCAGTTCTGATGTTGATAGAGTGTCTTGAGCCACTTATAACGTTGACAGACTCATAAATACTTTATAGTGTGTGTATGGAAATACATAAATCAGAGGTACACAGTTCTTAAGTTCCTGAATGAGAGCTGAGAAAGAAAGAAAAGGAAGAAGAAAATATTCATGTCTTTCTTAATTCTCAAGGTTCTTTACCTCATCCATCGTCAGTGTTATGTGCAGGTGTGTGTGTGTGTGTGTGTGTGTGTGTGTGTGTGTGTGTGTGTGTGTGTGTGTGTGTATGTGTGTGTGTGTGTGTGTGTGTGTGTGTGTGTGTGTGTGTGTGTGTGTGTGTGTGTGTGTGTGTGTGTTGTGTGTGGTGTGTCTGTGTGTGTGTGTGTGTGTGTGTGTGTGTGTGTGTGTGTGTGTATGTGTATGTGTGTGTGTGTGTGTGTGTGTGTGTGTGTGTGTGTGTGTGTGTGTGTGTGTGTGTGTGTGTGTGTGTGTGTGTGTTTGCGTGTGTTTGGAAAAGGCAATTAAAAGTTTGGGAAAAGAGGGAACTCGTAGGGAAGGAGGGAGGAAAGGCATGGGAGCGACTGTGTGGGAGCGAGGGAGGGTGCGGGTGGCTGGGCAGTCAGGTGTAAGCCCAGACAATATGTTGGACAGTTGGAAGCCATTCTGGGGACCCTCAGCTCACGTCACACGACACATGCATATGTATAGACACAATTTCTTTTGGACAGGAGGCAAAACACCACCTTTCACCAGTCTCGCGGGTTAAAAATGCTAGTGTTTTCTTCTCTCTCTCTCTCTCTCTCTCTCTCTCTCTCTCTCTCTCTCTCTCTCTCGTCGAAAAAATCTTGTGACAACCAAGAACAATAACAAAGGCAGTGTCGCTCCGTGGCAGCTCTGGCAGTTCCCATTAAAGTGGACACCTCTCCCTCACTTCCCTTAGCGCCAACCACCTCTTATCGGAATGTAATGGAAAAGGAGACGGGGGTAATGTAAATTTAAGAGTACCATTTATTAATTCGGACTTAAAATTCAGCGAGATAACTCTTAAGGAAGATTAAGAAGCAAAAGAGGGGAAAATAGAAAGGAATAGTAGCAAGTAGGAGACGGTAAAAAATAACAATGAATATAGAAAATGATGGAAAAATTAAAACAGTTATGTAGCTCAGCATACTTTTTCCTTTCGTGTTAAGGTTGTTGCTATGGTATGGTCATTTAGAAAGGATGGAGTAGGGTATCACAACTAAAAAGGTGTGCATGCATCAAAGATGAATGAAACGGAGTGTAGAGAACGTTCCAGATAGGGTTGGAGGTAGGGAGGCTGACGAAGGTTTTGAGTGGTAGTGATCTTTATCATCCAGCAAGCATGTGTGAGTTAATGAGGGTTTTGACGCGCTTTTGGAGTGTGAGGAAGGCAACTGAAGGGACTTAAGAAAATCATTCGATCTGAGTTGAGTTTTGTAGGTGGGAAGAAAAATGTATGGATTCTGACGGATGTGTGTGGATGCTGTGGCTCTGACGTTCATTCATATTGTGATTGCCACACATTTCTGATGGTGAATGTTTAACCTCCTCCTTGTAGCTTTCCTACCTGGTTGTAAACTCACTACTCCCCCAGCACCACAATCCACCACTTTTACCCATTATATATCACCTCTCCCACCACAGCCAAAAACACACATCTTCCTTCAGCCACTATTGCTGCTACTGCCATCACCTTTATCCACTACCATCACCCCCACCAACTACCACTACTACCATCACCCCTCCTACTACTGCAGCCACCACCTCCACCACCAAATAACTCACCATCTCAGCACTATTGTTAGCCACGATGGTAAAGTTCCTGATGCCGTCTAAGGAGAATGCTTCCAGACGTCGACCCATCGTAACAAGCAGGAAGGCTGGTGGGGGCCCCTCTGTGGTGAAGATAAACAACCAACTTAAATGGCCTGCTTTACGCCTTTCCTGATTATAGTATTATTTTTAACACATTATTATTATTATTATTATTATTATTATTATTATTATTATTATTATTATTATTATTATTAGTATTATTATTACCTTGGATAGCTGATGACCTGTTCATGATCAGTGAACTTAATGTCACTATTTAAGCTAAAGCAGCACCGACCATTTTCGTACCAGTGCTCGACTCATCTAGCCTCTAAGAGACCCGAGTGGAAGAGCCGAAGACAAGTTTGGTATTAAAGATACTCACCCATGCAGGTGTTGTTGTCAAGGAAGAACTCAGGAGGACAGGTGCACTGGTAGGCGTTGGGCGTGACCATGCAGTCGTGGCTGCAGGTGTTGATGGGACAAGGAATCTCTATCGGCACAGAAAGTAGGTTATGAAGCAAGTCAAGTCTATTAGGTAAATAAATATCCATACATATTTTATCATTATTGCTGTGTAAAACACGGAAAAATATATGCCCATTAAATTAGTTATTTATATTTCATATCAATTAAGTTAATAAGTAAATGTAAAAAAAAGAAAAACTTTCGTTTTTGTTTTTAGGTTACCCTGCCTCGGTGGGAGACGACCGGTACGTTACACAAACAGAATCATCTAAGGAATTATGTAATTGTGTGAAACATTGGTGGCTCAGGTATGTGATCTGGGAACACATTTCCCGTTATCTCTGAGGAGAGCCGCGAGTGTAACTACCAGGCTACATTGGGTTGTGTAACAAGAGTCTCTCAGACAAGGAAATTTAGCTTTGCGGCTAGGAAATATATTAATTTTACGAGCTAAACCCATGTGGGATCATTCAGTAAAAAAAAAAATGCGCTGGAGGCTTGAGCCTCCGTCTGCTCGGCGAGAGACAGATTCGCTTCCTGTTTGTACTCTCCTATATGCCCCTATATGACCCCATTCCCGAGGCTTTGTATAACCCTTACGGGTTTAGCGTTTCACCATACATAAAATAATAAAGGAATTAATGGAAATAATAATAATAATAATAATAATAATAATAATAATAATAATAATAATAATAATAATAATAATTAATAATCATGCTGTCTACTACCTTTGTTTTCGTCTTTTCTTAACCCTTCTTTTCTCCTTTTCTTCTTCCCCCCCCATTCTTCTCCCTCCCATTTTCTTTTCTTCCTCTTCCTTCTCCCTTTCCATCCCATCCAAACACAGCAATCCGACTGGACAGAGATCGGGAAAACAATAAGGTGATGGTCCCCACAGGACCCAGGAAATGGAAGGAACAACTCACCACAGCCGAGACCTTCGTCAGATCCATCAGCACAGTCGTGTTTCTTGTCACAGACGCTGGAGGCTGGCAGGCATAGGTTGTCCACCCTGCAGAGAAACTGACCCAACTCCGGCAGGCAGGCTCCGGCTGCCAGGGCTCTCTGTCACATACAACACATCAACATAGCAACATGACTTCTAGACAGCCCCATGTTTAATTAAATGAATTCTGGACATACAGGTTTAATGACATGTACTCTCAACATTCACGTTTAAATAAACACATTCTTAACATCCATGTTTCACTAAATTGCTTAGTTAATGTATTCTGTATTCTGAACAGCCAGATTTAAATCAGTATGTTCACAACATCCATTTAAATAATCAAATTTAAATTTATTCTGGCTATCCAGATTTAAATGTATAATAGACATTCACGTTTAAATATATTGTGGACAGCTGTATTTAAACTGATTCTGGACATCAGTGTTTAAATGCATCACGAGCAGAAAAATTAAATGTGTTTTTGGCAATCATTTTTCAATGTATTCCGGATAGCAGAGCTCAAAATCATTCTTAACAGTATTGCAGAGTCATGCTAAAATGTATTCGCCATAATAGCTAAAAATATTCTTAGCATATATTGGCCATTTAAACTTTTTTTTTTTTTTTTTTTTTTGCAACAGGATACTTGTAAGTGATAAATATTTTCCTCTGCTTATCTCTCTCTCTCTCTCTCTCTCTCTCTCTCTCTCTCTCTCTCTCTCTCTCTCTCTCTCTCTCTCTCTCTCTCTCTCTCTCTCTTTCATACTCTTCTCCCTTCTCATCGTCTTCTTTATTTTTGAGAAATTCACATAACCCGCAAAATGCAAAACGAAACTAGATTACGTTTTGGTCCATGGCGGACCGAAGCATCATCCATTTTCATTTCTACTCTGTAGGTGAGACATAAAGTGCTCAACACGTTTGCCATCCCCGGCACACCTGAGCTCAGGCGCTCCACACCTGTTGGAAAGGAGAGATTGGTGTTTCCGCGTGGGAGGAGGTAAAAGGGAGGTCTGAGGACGATGAACTGGCTTCCTTTGGAAGCGCGGAAGATGCTGGAGGCTGACAAGTGGAGGCGGCAGGTGCGCCAGTAGATAAGAAGAGCCATTATTTATGTTCGTTTACCCTTCAAGGACGAAGGAGCGCTTTGATGCCACCGAAGGACTCTTCATTCAAGAATTGTAACTACACTCTCCTTCTCTGGATGAAACCTGATTATAACCATACCTCTCTCTAATCTGGAAACCCATACAATAAGTGGAAAAAAATAAAACGTACTGTGGTAATGGTGGGCTGTGGTTGGATTGCGGTAGACGGGAAATCGGCGAAACTGGTTGGTGGTAAGTAGGTGGTGGTGATCGGTGGGGTGACGGTGATGGTTAATGGCGGGAGGCTGGTGGTGGTTGTGGTCGAAGGCACCGTGTAGACAGTGGGAAGGTCAGGAGTACTCTTAAGGTCGGGAACATCATTGGAGCATCCCATCTCGTCCGAATTGTCGGGACAATCAGGGAAGCCGTCGCAGCGGAAGTGAAGCATGATACATCCGCCCTTACCGCCGCAATCATACTGGCTCTCCGTACATGCTTTCTGGGGAGGCTGAATGCTAGAGTTAGCTGGAATACAGCTTCTAGAGGTGGAGGAAAAAAGAGGAAGGCAAGAAGCAAGAAGAGGTGATAAAAGATTTTATAGTTGATCATAAAGAGTTAAAATTGTGTGAGTTATTAAGCTCCTGTAATTGGTAGCAAACGCTTAACCTGTTCAGTCCTTCAAGGTAGGTTCCTCGATGCCGGTGAAGGGCTTTTGATCCAGAGAACTGAATTCGCCTGACCTTTCATTAGATATTTTCTAATTGCCTCTTATTTCCCAGACTACTTATTATACCAACCGGATTAGAGCCCATCCCATGAAAATAATAATAATAATAATCCAACCCTTCCTTTAATTAATATACACCAACACTGAAAGATTGACGTCAAGCATAAGAATTATGACCAAAAGAGACATACTAAAGTATTTGCAGGGAATTAATCTTATTCTAGTTTTTATTTGTTATTAGTTTACTGGCAATTTTGAATCTACACACTCTAAACTTGTTGGATACAATCCTTCTCAAAAGAAGCCTCAGTCATTTAGGATTGAATCCTTTCAGATGAGACACACTATATTAAAATAACATTGACGAAGAAGTACCTACATACAGGAAAAAAAAAATGCCTTCTTCTGAGTAGGAAGCAGTTGTTGGAAGATTAAAGCCTCTCAGAAGAGGTTTTCTCAAGTTATCACACGAGAGCCTAAACCAGCATGCACCTGCACAGTGTTATAACTATTTCCCTAATTACAGTACACGAGCAATGGAAATTTGAAGCCGATCGGAAGAGGCGTTATCAAGTTATGAACGAAAACATCGAGAGAAGGAAAAAAAAAAAACTCCGACACCCGCTATAAGATACGCCTTCAAGATACCTTAATATGCACATATTAATATGCCAATATTTAATTTTGCATGAAGATTAACCTTGCTAAATTTTACCTCATATAACATATCATATTTTTCATAGATTATCTAGAAATTGGAATATGTGCATTTACCTCATTTCTTTCGAGAAATCGTGAGATTACCTCAAAAATTTACCAGACACGGCTAACACCACCATACCACAGAATTACAGGTAAGAGAGCGCATCAAGCCTTCTTATCAAAACACAGTACACCTACCGGGGTGCAGTTCTCTTCGTCTGTACCATCGTCACAGTGGGTGACGCCGTCGCAAACGAAGATGGGCCAGATGCAGCCTCCGCTTTTCATGCACCGGAACATGCTGCTGTCACACTGGTCCTGTCGAGAGGCACTTAATGTGAGGAAAGTCCTTACCACTTATGTGCCACCCTTCATGGAGGTGAGGGGGGAAGGGGGTAAGTACGGGTGCGCTTCGATGCTCTGGTGAAGAACTCTTGATCGAACTTATTCAGACGTGATGGCCATAATTGTTACTGTTATTATTGTATGGGCCACAGATTCTTTAATGGTATTCCTTCACGGACTCACCTATATATTTAAATAACAGATCAATATTATTAACTAGAAGACACATTCTTCATTAATAAACTCAACTATAGAGTTAACTAACAGACTCACCTAAGTTATTAATTAACATACCATACTCTCCAGTACTTATCAGCATCAGACTCACTTGTTTTTCACCAATAGACCCACGTATATTAATTGCTAACAAATCTATATTTTTCACTAGCAGGCATCTATTATTCACTAAGAAACCCACTTGCATTATTCACTAACACACTCGCCTATATTACTGAATATGTTATTCAGAACGCAATAGACACAGACGTATGTTATACTCTTCGTTATCATTCTAGGGCACAAAGCATCAGTATATTTTGACTCACGAAATCGTAAGGACACGACTTCAAGCAAACCATATCACGGGCGGGAATACAACCCGCAGTCAGAGTTATGTAACTCTAGATAGACGCGCGTCGTTCTGGAATGTTATGAATCGGATCGCGGGTTCTATCCTCGCCTGTGGTATGATCAATATATTTTCACGGTGGTACCAGTGAACTTCGTTGCCACTTTTTAAAATGACTAGACAAATGTTGGGATGACTTTAACTTACTATAGATATACACAAAGACAGGAGGAATGCAACAATTACCCCAGGGGTGCTGGACGATGTATTGGGTTGAGGCGTTGTCACTCCTGTTGTGGTTTCTGGTGTGGTTAGGTGCTCAAAGTGGGTTGGTGGCATTTCCGAAGTCATTTGTGGTGTTGTTGGTTGTGGTGTGGTAGTCTGCAAGGTGACAAATTCCGTTGGTGGTGGTGGTGTTGATGGTGGTAGTGGCGATGGTGTCGGGAACTCGTGGTAGAGGGTGTCCTGTGGTGTAGTGGCGCATAACAATTCGTCGCTCTTGTCGGGACAGTCTGTGATGCCGTCACACCTCCACGACGCCAGGATGCAGATTTCGTGCCCAGGGCACTGCAGCTTATCTTCGGGGCAAGTAAACTGAGTGGGGGGGTAGAGGAAACTGTGTGATCACCTCAAGATCTGCCCCTTTTTATCGTTCGGAAAATTACTTAATCATGCACATTTATGGTATGTTATGTGTTTATTTTTCTCGTATGAAACCAATGATTAATTAAAAGAACCTAGCTAAAAATTTGCTAAACTCTACTTATATTAAATGAACTATGAAATGATAATATAGAATAATCTACAAAAATAAACCCACATTCAGTACTCAGTAAAATAAACCCGCATTCAAAATTAAGAAAATAACACAAATTTGTATTTTTTTCGCTCTAGCTAAACGATAGTTCTGATGCAAGTGTTGACGCAGGTGTTACTCGCCTAACAAGTTTTCTTCACGCAGGTGTTGCCCACAACAGCTGCCACTCACCTGGTAACAGTTCTCCTCATCACTACCATCTGAACAATCATTTTCCCCGTCGCACTTCCAGGCTTCTGGGATGCAAGGTGAATTGGGCGAGCACTGGAACATACCTTCGTAACAATAAACCTGCAAGAGGATCTCAAATGAAACACTAGAGCGTCATACGCCTTACAGGATATAACCGAAACAATAGACTTTAAAACTGGAAAAGAGGATCAAATGGAATACTGGCGTTCTCTCGCCCACAAGAGAGACAAATGGAACAAAACCCATTAAAGCTACGAGAGGAACAAATGGAGCAATTGGCTGGACGCTGAATCTGCCGAAAGAGCAATGACTCGCTGCTTCCGGGGCATTCGACTTGAGAAAGTACAATGGAACGGTACATCAAGGGTACTCAAACTGTAAAGGGAATAACTGTACACTGAAGAAACAATACAATAATGGTTCACTGAAAAACGATAATAATAATAATAATAACAATATACTGAAAACAGTGGAATAATGGTACTCTAAAGAACATTATAAGAATTCCAGAATGAACGACAATGGAATATTGATGTATTACAGAACAAAATTATAGTAGTACACTGAAAAATAAAATAGTAATTGAACAGTAAAGGGCATTAAAATAATTGAATACTAAACAGGAATATTATAACAGTTGAACACCAAAGAACAGTATCATTATAATACACTGATGAACAATATGATAACATGGGACGCTGAAAAATATACTGCAAGAACAAAGTAAATCCAGAAAGTGAATATTAAACATAGCAGCTATTTATCTACTGGTGCGACTGTTGTTTGAGCTGTTGTTGGTGTGTCTGAAGTTGTAGTAGATGTCGCTGTATCTGTTATTAATGTGACTGTTCTTGTTGCAGTGTGATTGTTAAAGTTGCTATTGATGAGAAAAGCGTATACAGATTTTTTTAATATTTTTTTAAACACTGGTTCTCAGCAAAAGCAAGGCTGCTCAATCCATGTGGGCAGCCTTGCTTTTGCCTTTTAATGTATAACTTTTTACTGTATGATCCCAGACGGATTTGCTGCATCCCGAAGATGATAATAACATGTAACTCCTTACTAATGGTTAAATAAGTGTTTAGGTGTAGTTAGTGCGTGTGTGTGTGTGTGTGTGTGTCGTTCCGAAGTGTCATTTAAATTTTCGTATGAAGAGACAAATGTAACATGGGTTAATGATATTGGATAAAATAGTGAGCTAGTTAGTCTCACCAGGGTATGGAACAGTGTTGTGTGGCTAGTTAGTCTCACCAGGGTATGGAGCAGTGTTGTGTGGCTAGTTAGTCTCACTAGGGTATGGAACAGTGTTGTGTGGCTAGTTAGTCTCACCAGGGTATGGAACAGTGTTGTGTAGCTAGTTAGTCTCACCAGGGTATGGAACAGTGTTGTGTGGCTAGTCAGTCTCACTAGGGTATGGAACAGTGTTGTGTGGCTAGTCAGTCTCACTAGGGTATGGAACAGTGTTGTGTAGCTAGTTAGTCTCACCAGGGTATGGAACAGTGTTGTGTGGCTAGTTAGTCTCACTAGGGTATGGAGCAGTGTTGTGTGGCTAGTCAGTCTCACTAGGGTATGGAACAGTGTTGTGTAGCTAGTTAGTCTCACCAGGGTATGGAACAGTGTTGTGTGGCTAGTTAGTCTCACCAGGGTATGGAACAGTGTTGTGTGGCTAGTTAGTCTCACCAGGGTATGGAACAGTGTTGTGTGGCTAGTTAGTCTCACTAGGGTATGGAACAGTGTTGTGTGGCTAGTTAGTCTCACTGGGGTATGGAACAGTGTTGTGTGGCTAGTTAGCCTCACTAGGGTAATGAACAGTGTTGTGTGGCTAGTTAGTCTCACCAGGGTATGGAACAGTGTTGTGTAGCTAGTTAGTCTCACCAGGGTATGGAACAGTGTTGTGTGGCTAGTTAGTCTCACTAGGGTATGGAACAGTGTTGTGTGGCTAGTTAGTCTCACCAGGATATGGAACAGTGTTTTGTAGCTAGTTAGTCTCACCAGGATATGGAACGGTGTTGTGTGGCTAGTTAGTCTCACCAGGATATGGAACAATGTTGTGTAGCTAGTTAGTCTCACCAGGGTATGGAACAGTGTTGTGTGGCTAGTTAGTCTCACTAGGGTATGGAACAGTGTTGTGTGCCTAATTAGTCTCACTAGGGTATGGAACAGTGTTGTGTGGCTAGTTAGTCTCACTAGGGTATGGAACAGTGTTGTGTGGCTAGTTAGTCTCACCAGGGTATGGAACAGTGTTGTGTGGCTAGTTAGTCTCACTAGGGTATGGAACAGTGTTGTGTGGCTAGTTAGTCTCACTGGGGTATGGAACAGTGTTGTGTGGCTAGTTAGCCTCTCTAGGGTAATGAACAGTGTTGTGTGGCTAGTTAGTCTCACCAGGGTATGGAACAGTGTTGTGTAGCTAGTTAGTCTCACCAGGGTATGGAACAGTGTTGTGTGGCTAGTTAGTCTCACTATGGTATGGAACAGTGTTGTGTGGCTAGTTAGTCTCACCAGGATATGGAACAGTGTTTTTAGCTAGTTAGTCTCACCAGGATATGGAACAATGTTGTGTAGCTAGTTAGTCTCACCAGGGTATGGAACAGTATTGTGTGGCTAGTTAGTCTCACCAGGGTATGGAACAGTGTTGTGTGGCTAGTTAGTCTCACTAGGGTATGGAACAGTGTTGTGTGGCTAGTTAGTCTCACCAGGGTATGGAACAGTGTTGTGTGGCTAGTTAGTCTCACTAGGGTATGGAACAGTGTTGTGTGGCTAGTTAGTCTCACTGGGGTATGGAACAGTGTTGTGTGGCTAGTTAGCCTCTCTAGGGTAATGAACAGTGTTGTGTGGCTAGTTAGTCTCACCAGGGTATGGAACAGTGTTGTGTAGCTAGTTAGTCTCACCAGGGTATGGAACAGTGTTGTGTGGCTAGTTAGTCTCACTAGGGTATGGAACAGTGTTGTGTGGCTAGTTAGTCTCACCAGGATATGGAACAGTGTTTTGTAGCTAGTTAGTCTCACCAGGATATGGAACAGTGTTGTGTGGCTAGTTAGTCTCACCAGGATATGGAACAATGTTGTGTAACTAGTTAGTCTCACCAGGGTATGGAACAGTATTGTGTGGCTAGTTAGTCTCACCAGGGTATGGAACAGTGTTGTGTGGCTAGTTAGTCTCACTAGGGTATGGAACAGTGTTGTGTGCCTAGTCTCATTAGGGTATGGAACAGTGTTGTGTGGCTAGTTAGTCTCACTAGGGTATGGAACAGTGTTGTGTGGCTAGTTAGTCTCACTAGGAAATGGAACAGTGCTGTGTAGCTAGTTAGTCTCACTAGGGTATGGAACAGTGTTGTGTGGCTAGTTAGTCTCACCAGGGTATGGAACAGTGTTGTGGCTAGTTAGTCTCACTAGGGTATGGAACAGTGTTGTGTGGCTAGTTAGTCTCACTAGGGTATGGAACAGTGTTGTGTGGCTAGTTAGTCTCACCAGGGTATGGAACAGTGTTGTGTGGCTAGTCTCACTAGGGTATGGAACAGTATTGTGTGGCTAGTTAGTCTCACCAGGGTATGGAAGAGTGTTGTGTGGCTAGTTACTCTCACCAGGGTATGGAACAGTGTTGTGTGGCTAGTTAGTCCCACAAGGGTATGGAACAGTGTTGTGTGGCTAGTTAGTCTCACAAGGGTATGGAACAGTGTTGTGTGGCTAGTTAGTCTCACCAGGGTATGGGACAGTGTTGTGTAGCTAGTTAGTCTCACCAGGGTATGGGACAGTGTTGTGTAGCTAGTTAGTCTCACCAGGGTATGGGACAGTGTTGTGTAGCTAGTTAGTCTCACCAGGGTATGGGACAGTGTTGTGTAGCTAGTTAGTCTCACCAGGGTACGGAACAAAAGCAACGACTTGAGTTGCCAAAAAAAAAAAAATGGCTTCATTACCAGTAAAAAGAAAGGTAGTTCACAATGACACTGGATCGTAATCTGGATTTTATTATCTGCTTTTTTAACATTTATTGCCACTTGACTGTGAAATTTTAAAGTCTGTCAGCAATGTTACCACATCTGGCACAATAAATCCTCACCTCAGGAGCCACAGGTGTTGTGATCAATAGATTACCAGTATTTTCTGTGGTAGTTGTTAGTGGCGGTGATGGTGGTGGTGGTGGTGATGGTGATGGTGGTGGTGGTGATGGTAGCAGCAGAGCAGGTGGAGGAATTTTTGTGGACCAGGGAAATGTGAAGGGTCCGGTGTTGCAACCCTCTTCATCACTGTTGTCCAGGCAGTCAACATAGTTATCACACCTCCACTGGACGGGGATACACGCACCATCTCTCCCACACTGGAACTTGTCCTCACCACACCAGATCTGTAGCCGGAAAGATGGCTGGAAGGTTACATGGTTTTTTCAATTCCTAATTCTCATAGTAAGAAGATGAGTGTGAACAATCTGCTCACGCTGGTGAGCTATGAAGAAAATGTAGAATGTATACGGATTATTAACCCCTAGAAGTTAACTAATAGTCTGAATAACCCCCAAGAAAGTCATTACGCGCAATTTTTTTTTCATTGGGTGTCTTTTGGCGCTGTTACCCAGGATGCAACACATCAGTCGACTAACACTGGTATCTGTTTACTTCTCAGTAAAAGGGGACAGTGGATGTTAAATTTTCGCATGCGTCTTGCCCAGGTCCAGATCCTTCGGTTGTGACCGAAACATCACCACAGCGCAAAGAAGTTTTAGCTCACACTTCGCGACATCCAACATGCCGAATTATAAGGGAAAATGTGGTTCCGCCTCTGAGTATTTACAAACATATTGAGTTAAGATATTTATGGTGGCATTAAATATTCAAGTATTATTTTCGATATGTTTGTAGCAAACACGATATCCTCTTGCTCGGCAATCCTAGCGGCTGTTTTTTTTTTTTTTCACGCAGAGTCATAGATTGTCTGTCAAATCTGTTAATGGCTTCTGGGATTAACATTCCGACTGCCCAGTCTGAGAACCGACCTCCTAAATTGGAAAGGAGATAAAATATAAATATAAATTATCAAGAAATACAAGCTCCAGTGTCAATGTCCTCAGCAAAGTCGTAATAAACGGTTGGAAAGATTTTCAAAGAAAACTGGTTGGCAATGAAGGGACAAGAGCTGGATCTCCATTTGAGTTGTGCTGACGAAGGAAGATGGCTATAAAAGACGTGTCCAGCCGCTGGAGACGATAGCGTCTACAGTTATCACTTGAATTAGACAGGTTATCGCTTGGTTGAGAAGCGGATTTATACTTGTGGATCAACAGGGTCGACTATTTCGCAGTTTTTCTTTGAATTTAATTACAGTCGTTCATCACCACTTTTCCGAGAAATGTATATCTATAAGGTTACTCAAACTGTAGCTGGGTTAACGGTACACTGAAAGAACAATAAAAGAATGGTTCACTGAAAACGATAATAATAATAACAATAGCAACAGTGCACTGACAACAGTGCAATAATGGTACTCTAAAGAACATAAGAATTCCAGAATGAAGGACAATAGAATATTGATGTGTTGCAAAACAAAATTATTATGGTACACTGAGAAAAATATAGTAACTGAACAGTGAAGAACATTAAAATAAGGGTACATTAAACAAAAATATTATACCAGTTGAACGCTAAAGAGTAGTATCACTGTGATACACTGACAAACAATACGATGATAATCTGGGACGTTGGAAAAGAAACTGCAAGAACAGAGTAAACAAGAAAAGAAATACCAACTGTTGTAGCTATTTATTTGGTGATGTGTCTGTTGTTGCAGTAGTTGTTGCTGTAGCTGTTATTAATATGACTGTTGCTTGAGCTGTTGTGGGTGGTACTGCTGTTGGCAAGATTGTTGTTGTAGCAGTTGCTGCTACAGCAACAGTCACACTGTTACTAGTGTCTCGTTCAGAAGTGTCAGTATTTTAAATAAAAAATGACAAAGGACTAGTATTATTGGAATTTTCGTATGAAGACTTACTGGTCACATAACAGTGTTGTGTGACCAATAAGTCTCACCAAGGTATGAAACAGTGTTGTGTGACCAGTAAGTTTCACCAGGGTATGAAACAGTGTTGTGTGACCAGTAAGTTTCACCAGGGTATGAAACAGTGTTGTGTGACCAGTAAGTTTCACCAGGGTATGAAACAGTGTTGTGTGACCAGTAAGTTTCACCAGGGTATGAAACAAAAACAAAGATTAGAGTTCCAAAAAAATTGCTTCATTAATACGACAAAACAACTTGTTCGGCAAAAAGTGACTTTGTCTTCACAATGACATTAAATCCTCATTTCCGTTAATAGTGTTTTCTAACATTTATATCTCACTGATTGTGAAATTAAAGAGACTGGCAGCAATGTTACAAAAACTGACACAACAAATCCTCACCTCGAGAGCCACAGGTGTTGTGATCAATAGATTTCCAGTATTTTCTGTGGTAGTAGATAGTGGCGGTGATGGTGGTGGCGGCGGCGGTGATGGCAGCAGCAGGACAGGAGGAGGAATATTTGTGGACCAGGGAAAGGTGAAGGATCCGGTATCGCAGTCCTTTTCATCACTGTTGTCCAGGCAGTCACCATAGTTATCGCACCTCCAGTGGGTGGGGATACATGTACCATCGCTCACACACTGGAACTTGTCCTCACCACACACGATCTGTTACGGAGAGATGACTGGAAAGTTACACAGTTTATTTTTTTTTTCAATTCCGCTTTCTCATCTTACGAGGATGAGTGTGAACAATCTCACTCTGGTGAGATATGAAGAAAATGAAGAATGTATTGAAATTATTAACTCCCGGGGAGTTAATTAATATCTGGAATAAACCCCAAGAGAATCAGTCCACTCATTTTTTTTCTTATCTGTGCGTCTTTTTTCACTCTTCCTCAGGATGCTACACATATTAGTCGACTAAACAGTGGAGCCTATTTACTTCTTGGTAAACAACAAGGACAGGAGATATTAGGAGATTCGCCAACTCGTCTTGCTCCCCCCAGGATTACAGTATATCCAGATCCTTTGGCTGTGAGCGAAACATCACCACCGCGCAAAGATGTTTTAGTTCGCAATTTATGACATCTATCTTGCCGAAATACAAACGAAAATATGGTTCCGCCACTGGATATTTACCAATACGCTTTTAGGAGCTAATTTTTATTATTATTGATTTAACAGAGTCAGGATGGCAAAAACGTTCAAGTATTATTATCGACACGTACATAGCAAACAACACGATATCCTTTTGCTTCGTAATTCGAGCGGCTGTTTGTTCTCACATATAGTTATGGATTGTCTGTTAAATCTGTTAATGGCTTCTGGGATTAACGCCCCCGCGTCCCGGTCTGAGAACCTACCTAATAAATTGGAAAGGAAATATTACATGAATAAAAATTATAAAAACATAAGTGGAAATGCATACCGATTGTAAGTAGAAGAATGTTTTGCAAGGCAGGAAAACAATGAGCAGACTTCCATTTCACAATTACGTGGGAAGACGATAGAACGTCAATGGATAGTGGTTATTGTCTTTTTTTTAATTGTGTAATTGATTCAAGGATACGTAGTATTAAAATAGCATCTACTATTGAGACTTTTCCGAGACCTTCGGTACGTTTCAAAATGTAATACTGAATTTACATTATTCGACTCATAGATGAGTAAGAATGTCTTAACTGGTCTTAGTGTCATCTTCTTTGACTGTTGATAAAATTACCCCACATTTTATATACTTACCCTTGACATACGCACACACACACGCACACACACACACAGGTGAAAACATACAAACCTGGTATGCATACATACTGGGTACAAAGAAAAATTGGATGGAAATCGAACCGGAGATTCCGTGTGTTCGAACCCTGCGATTAACCAGTGAGCCATATTGGTTGCAATAGTCACAACTGCTCCAATTCAGGTGGTGTTTGCTGCCACAACTGCAAACTTTTTTTTAATGTCAATTTTCTTCACAAACAGAACTCAAGTGATGATCATACTCTTGTCGCTTCAGTCCTCCTGGCAATGTACTCGGAAAAGTTGTAGTAAACGACTGTATCTAAATTATAAGAAAAATGGGATTGCGGTGAAGGGACAAGAGCTGGAGCTCTACACTGAGTTGTGTTGGCGAAGCAAGATATCTATAAAACACTGTCCAGCGGCTGAAGACCGCAAGGCCTGCAGATATAACCTGATTAGACAGATCATCACTTAGTTGAGAAGTGGATTTGTACAGGTTGATATACAGGTTCGATTATAACTCAGTTTTTCCTTGAATTTTATTACGAATGTTAATTTTTACTTTTCTGAGAACGTGTACGTCTATATTTAGTTATTACTGAAAGTTTTGTTTTAAAGACAGTTCAGCATTTTCAGCATGGGTGTGTAACAGTGTTGTGTGACCAGTAAGTTTCACCAGGGAATGAAACAGTGTTGTGACTAATAAGTCTCACCTAGGTATGGAACAAAAACAAAGACTCGAGTTGCAAATAAAGGCTTTATTAACACGACAAAAAACAAAAAGCTTGATCTGCAACAAGTGTCTTTGTCTTCTCAACAACACTAAGTTTTCAACTGCGTTAATAGCGTTTTCAAACATTTATTTCCACTTGATTGTTAAATTATCAATCCTGCTAGTAATGTTACCAAAGGTGGCAACAAATCCTCACCTTGGTAGCCACAGGTGTTGTACTCAATAGATTTCCAGTATTTTCTGTGGTAGTTGTTAGTGGCGGTGATGGTGGTGGTGGTGGTGGTGATGGCAGCAGCAGGACAGGAGGAGGAATATTTGTGGACCAGGGAATGGTGAAGATTCCAGGGATGCAGCCCTCTTCATCACTGTTGTCCAGGCAGTCACTATATTTATCACACCTCCACTCGGCGAGGACACACGCACCATCGCTCACACACTGGAACTTGTTCTCACCACACCCGATCTGTTGCCGGAAGGTTACAAAATTTTTCCCCAGTTCCTCATTCTCAACTTAAGATGAGTGTTAACAATCTCCTCGCTTTGGTGAGATATTTATTTAGTACTGAAAGTTTTACTTTAAGGATAATTCAGCTTTTTCAGCATTGGTATGGAACAGTGTTAAGTGACCAGTAAGCTTCACCAGGGTATGAAAATGTGTTATGTGACCAGTAAGTCTCACCTACGTAAGGAACAAAAGGCTTTATTAACACGACAACAAAAGCTTGATCTGCAACAAGTGTCTTTGTCTTCTCAATAACACTAGGTCTTTATCTGAGTTAATAATATTTTCAAACATTTATTTCAATTTGATTGTTAATTTATCAATCTTGCTAGTAATGTTACCAAAACTTAAACAACGAATCCTCACCTTGGGAGGCACAGGTGTTGTGCTAAATAGATTTCCAGTATTTTCCGTGGTAGATGTTAGTGGAGGTGTTGTTGGTGGTATTGGTGGCGGCGGTGATGGCAGCAGCGTGACTGGATGAGGAATTTTTGTAGACGAGGGAGAAGTTAAGAAGGATTCGGTGCTGCAGCCCAATTCATCACTGTTGTCCAGGCAATCACTATAGTTATCACACCTCCACTGGGCGGAGATACACACACCATTGCTCACACACTGGAACTTGTTCTCACCACACCTAATCTGTTGCCGGAGAGATGGCCGGAAAGCTACAGTTTTCTTTTTTTCAATTCCTCATTCTCATATTAAGATGATGATTGTGAACAATCATCTTAATGTATACGGATTATTAGCACCTGGGAGTTAGTAGACTGAATAACCCCCAACAAAATCAATTCCCTCATTTTATTTTCATTAGGTATCTTTTGGTTCTGTTCCCGAGGATGTATCTGGTATCTGTTTACCTTTCGGTGAGGAACACTAGCAGTAGATGACAGAAGACTGGCACTGTGTCTTGCCCATGCCCAAGTTTACAACATATGCAGATCCTTCGGCTGTGAGTGAAACATCACCACCGAGCAGAGATGTTTAGCTCACACTTCGTCACAACATGGGCATTTACCAACAAGCTTTTGGGAGCTTATTTTCGTTAATTATAGAGCTTACATATTGGTTTAAGATATTTACGATAGCAGTAAATATTCATGTATTATCTTCCACGTGTTCATGGCAAACAACACGATATCCATTTGCTTCGTAATCCTAGTAGCTGTTTTCTTCACATATAGTTATGCATTGTCTGTTAAATCTGTTAATGGCTTATGGGATTATCGCCCCAGCGACCCGGTCTGAGAACCTACCTTCTAAATTGGAAAGGAAATATTACAGAAAAAGAATTTATCAACACAAAGAAGTATATATATAATATAATATAAATATATAATATTATATATATATTATATAATATATATATTTTATATATATATATATATATATATATATATATATATATATATATATATTATATATATATATATATATGTCGTGCCGAATAGGCAGAACTTGCGATCTTGCCTTATATAGCAACGCTCATCTTGCAATATAGGACAAGTGAAAATTTGTGTATGCAATAATTTCGCCAAAATCATTCTGAACCTAACGAAAAAATTATATTTCACTGTGTTTGTTTAGTATTAAATTATTGTAAACAAATCTAAAATATATTTAGTTGGGTTAGGATAAAATAAACTGTTCTTGTTATAATGTGTATAATAAGGTTAGGTAAGTTTTCCAAGATTCTTTTGGTGCAAAATTATAAATTTTTGCATTAATATTAATGAAAAAAATATATCTTTAAACGTATAAGAGAAAATTTCAGAAATGACTTAATTTGAAATGAGTTGTTGCTAATTGACCAGTTTTACATATTCGGCACGACATATATATATATATATATATATATATATATATATATATATATATATATATATATATATATATATATTATATATATATATATATATATATATATATATATATATATATGTGTGTGTGTGTGTGTGTGTGTGTGTGTGTGTGCACTCACCTATTTGTACTCACCTATTTGTGGTTGCAGGGGTCCAGTCATAGCTCCTGGCTCCGCCTCTTCGCTGATTGCTACTAGGTCCTCTCTCTCCCTGCCCCATGAGCTTTATCATACCTCGCCTTAGAACTATGTATGGTTCCTGCATCCACTACATCACTTTCTAGGCTATTCCATGGCCTGACTACTCTATGACTGAAGAAATACTTCCTAACATCCCTGTGATTCATCTGAGTCTTCATCTTCCAATTGTGACCTCTTGTGTCTGTGTCCCTTCTCTGGAACATCCCGTCTTTGTCCACCTTGTCTATTCCGCGCAGTATTTTATATGTCGTTATCATGTCTCCCCTGACCCTCCTGTCCTCCAGTGTCGTCAGGCCGATTTCCCTCAACCTTTCTTCGTAGGACAGTCCCCTTAGCTCTGGGACTAGTCTTGTTGCAAACCTTTGCACTTTCTCTAATTTCTTGACGTGCTTGACTAGGTGTGGATTCCAAACTGGTGCTGCATACTCCAGTATGGGCCTGACGTAAAGTCTTGAACGAATCCTTACTAAGGAATTGGAACGCTATCCGTAGGTTTGCCAGGCGCCCGTATGCTGCAGCAGTTATCTGATTGATGTGCGCCTCAGGAGATATTCTCGGTGTTATACTCACCCCCAGATCTTTTTCCTTAAGTGAGGTTTGCAGTCTTTGGCCATCTTAACTACATTGTGTCTGCGGTCTTCTTTGCCCTTCCCAATCTTCATAACTTTGCATTTGGCAAAGCCAGTTGCTGGACCAGGCTTGTAGCCTGTCCAGGTCTCTTTGTAGTCCTGCCTGATCCTCATCCGATTTGATTCTTCTCATTAACTTCACATCATCTGCAAACAAGGACTCTTCTGATTCTATCCATTCCGTTATGTCATTCACATATGCCAAGAACAGCACAGGTCCTAGGACTGACCCCTGTGGAACCCCGCTTGTCACAGGCGCCCACTCTGACACCTCGTCACGTACCATGACTCGTTGTTGCCTCCCTGTCAGGTATTCTCTGATCCATTGCAGTGCCTTTCCTGGTATGTGTGCCTGATCCTCTAGCTTTTGCAGTAACCTTTTGTGAGGAACTGTGTCTAAGGCCTTCTTGCAGTCCAAAAAAATGCAGTCGATCCACCCCTCTCTCTCTTGTCTTACTTCTTTCACCTTGTCATAAAACTCTAGTAGGGTTGTGACACAGGATTTTTCTTCCCTGAAACCGTGCTGGTTGTCAATCATACACTTGTTTCTTTCCAGGTTCTCCACCACTCTCCTCCTGATGATCTTCTCCATGACCTTGCATACTATACACGTTAGTGATACAGGTCTGTAGTTTAGTGCCTCATGTCTGTCTCCCTTTTTAAAAATTGGGACTACATTTGCCATCTTCCATACCTCAGGGAGTTGCCCAGTTTCAAATGATGTGTTGAAGATCTTTGCTAATTGCACACACAATATCTCTGCTCCCTCTTTAAGGGCCCACGGAGAGATGTTGTCTGGTCCCACCGCCTTTGAGGTGTCAAGTTAGCATAGCAGCTTCTTCACCTCCTCCTTGGTTATATGTACCTCATCAAGCACTTGCTGGTGTACCCCCCCTGTTCTGATTTCCTGGAGTCCTACTGGTTTTCACTGTAAATACTTCCTTAAATCTCGTGTTGAGCTCCTAACATACCTCTCGGTCGTTTCATGTGAATTTCCCATCACCCTTCCTCAGTCTGATTACCTGGTCCTTGACTGTTGTTTTCGTCCTGATGTGGCTGTACAACAGCTTCGGGTCAGTCTTGACTTTCGATGCTATGTCATTTTCATATTGTCACTGAGCCTCCGTTCTTATCTGTGCATATTCGTTTCTGGCTCTTCGGCTAATCTCTTTATTTTCCTGAGTTCTCTGTCTTCTGTACCTTTTCCATTCTCTAGTACACCTTGTTTTTGCCTCCCTACACCTTTGGGTGAACCAAGGACTCGTTCTGTTCTTCCCATTATTTCTGTTTCCCTTGGGAACATACCTCTCCTCTGCCTCCTTGCATTTTGTCGCCACATAGTCCATCATTTCTTGTACTGGTTTTCCTGTCAGTTCCCTCTCCCACTGAATGTCTTGAAGGAAGTTCCTCATGCCTGAGTAGTTTGGTTTTTCCCACCCTATTCCTGCTACTCTCTCCACTTGGAGCTAAACTATGTAGTCGAAGCACAGAACCACATGATATCCTCGATGTCCAAACTACTCAAGGTGAATACAAGGTCCAGTCTTGCTGGTTCATCCTCTCCTCTCTCTCTGGTAGTGTCTCTAACATGTTGATGCATGAGGTTTTCCAGTACCACATCCATCATCTTGGCTCTCCATGTTTCGGGACCCCCATGGGGCTCCAGGTTTTCCCAGTCAATCTCGTGATTGACTGTGTGTGTGTGTGTGTGCGTGTGTGTGTGTGTGTGTGTGCGTGTGTGTGTGTGTGTGTGTGTGTGTACGTATATATGAAGATGCAAAAGTCACCTGTTGTGGAATCTCTGTGATTATAGTAGTGAGACACAGTAGCTCGTCACTGCCATCAGTGCAGTCGTTCTTGCCATCACACGTGAGGAAGTCCGGGATGCAGAGATCTTCCTGAAGACACTTGAACTGGTTGTCTGGACACAGTGTCTGGAACAAATATAAGATCTAATAATAACTTTTAATAATAGCTTTTCTCCCATTTTCCTATTTTTCATGCAATCATTTTATCAATAAATTTTACAAATGCACAAATTCAGTTCAAGAAAAAAGTCGATAAAGTGGAATGTTACTACGAACATATTTTTTGGGAAAATATCAAATGGGATTATATATACAAATGAACATAAATTTATGGGAAGATCATCGCATTACGTCAAAAAAATCATAATTAAGTTCACATAAACAAGTTGACTATTAATTTTGAGTTTAAAAACAAAACAAAAGAGGAACTCACTAGTGGACTTTCGTTCGGAGGGGAAGTTGTGACGTTACATCCATCCTCGTCACTGCCGTCACCACAGTCTAACTCACTGTCACACCGCCACTGTGACGGGATACACCTGCCTCCAGCCACACATCTGAACATGAAGGTTTCACACTGCCGTGGTGTGAATAGAGATAATTGTGTCATTAATACTGCTAGAATATTATCTGTAATATATGCGATATATTACAGTTAATATTCCAGTTATATATTTCGAATATATTACGAATATATTACGAATATATTCTTCAATATATTACGGTCCATGACGGATCGAAACGTCGTATTTTATCTTTTACAATTTGTGAGTTAGTTTTGATGTGTTCCAGATACAGTATGGCGACTAATATTTTTCGTACATCGCCTGTACATCAACAAAATGCAGCGGGTGTTCCACTAACAATGAAACACCACATCTTAGCCTCAGAAAACAATCTGGACTCGGGAGTTGCTGCGGTTATTAGTACCTCTTCTATATGGCGTCGTGGTTGGCAGAGAGGTTGGCGTCGTGGTTGACTGCGGAGTTAGTGGCCACAGTGTTTTCTTCAGCACAGAGGATAAATCATCTCTTCCGACGGCTTGGTTCCCGCGACAGTTCTCCTCGTCACTGCCATCGGAGCAGTCAGGGATGCCGTCACACTTCCACTCCCTCTGATAGCAGGAGTTGTCCGCGCCGCAGAAAATCATGTTCGGGTCACATATATTCTACGGGGAAAAAGAGGACAAGACAAAGGGAGTTTTAGGTGCAAAAATAATTCTGGTGGACAGATTTTTGAAGATAAATCTGCGCATATATTTTTTTTTCAGTTATTTCCCATAGTGTGTAAGCGTTTTGTAATAGTTATACAAAATGGTACTTTTTTCTGGTATTTCCATATGTATTATTAGGAAGAGTATACATGAATGTATTTCGCTGTGTGATAAACTCATTCGGGTTACTCTGCACGAGTGAGTATTTGTGTTTTCCAGTGACCAAAAACTATTATATAAAGATAACATGGAAAACCAATCATTGAAACCAAAGGTAAGCAGTTAAATGAAAAGTAAACGGCTAAAATTATGAAAAGTATTAGAGAGGGAGTATGAGATGGGTGAAGAGACAGAGAGAGAGAGAGAGAGAGAGAGGGAAGAGACGGATGGAGGGAAGGAGCGTGATGGAAGAAGAGGAGCTAATAATAGTAACTGACAATATCCTTAACACTTCACCTCAAGCGTCTCTGTGGGGAAGGAAGTAGTGGGAACAGTGGTGCCGGGAGGAGTCAGAGGTCGGGTCGGGCCGGAGCCAGGAGTCGGAGGTCCGACTGGGAAGGAGCCGGGAGTTGGATGTGGTTGGGTCGGGGAGGAGCCAGGAAGCATCCTGCCTACTGCTGCTGCAGAATGATCTGGCCGCACGCAGGTCGTCTCATCCCTGCCGTCACTGCAGTCAGCCCTTCCGTCACACAGCCACGACAGCGGCACACACGCCCACTCTCTCTCACACACGAACTGCTGCTCCGTACACCCCACCTGCCACAGAAAGATGTGTGGTAATTTGTTTTGACATGATTGCACAATATACACGGAAAACTTATACTGAGACAACGTTCCACAACTTACTAAGCAGAGGGATGGGAAAATCTTTCTTGTTTACAATCTGAAGCTGTGGAGGCTCTGTATTAGTGCCGCAGATGGCGATTTAGCTCTCCGAACACATGACATTTTGCATAGAAAGAGCTTTCATTGTGTCACTTTCATGTAGTTTTTATTTCTTTTCCTTTCCATTCTCTTGTCTATATTCTTCATCACGATTTTTATCATTCTCATTCATCCTTCTGTTACCCTTCCGCCAGCCTCGCATACCTTACTTCTTCCCCATAAATTTAATTTCGCTGTGTGTGGGATAGATCATCCTGAGAGATAGTAATCCCCATGTTATAGAAACGCCAGCTCTACTGAACGATTTTATAAGTCTTTATGTTCAACCCAAGCTAATGGTGTGGAAGATCACACAGAGAAACACAGCTAGTTTGTAATTACCATACAGTATCTATACTACTGGTGTGAACACATATTTGCTATATAAAACACCTCACCTTGCAGTTCTCCTCGTCGCTTCCATCAGAACACTCCTGGACGTCGTTACATCTTCCTTCCAGAGATATACACTCTGTTGTGGAGGCGCACTTAAACATACCTTCTCTTCGGCACTGCGTCACCTGCCAAATATACGTGTACGGTTTTAGTTCTTTTGTGACAATGCTCTTATTCATGTACAAAATACATGTATAAGATTTAATTGCTTCAAGACCCAATTTCAACATTGCAACAAGGCCAGTGGAAACCTGATACTATGAACACGTTTCCATTCACGTCACTTCTTACACCTGATCTAGTTCCTCCACCTTAATCTCGTTACTTCGCCAGATCTAGCTCCTGAACTTATATCACGTGGCTCGAGTCAAATGACCTACGTATTTATTCTGTATCCCCCTGAAGAGTAGTCATGTTAGTATTATTTGCTGTAGTTAAAACTGTGGAAAAACGCAGTAGCATTTGTATTACTACTACTCATAATAATTACTCCCTTAGTAGTGGAAATTATAGTAGGCCTCATAATAAAATAATAATAATAATAATAATAATAATAATAATAATAATAATAATAGTGGTAGAAGTAGTAGTATTAACAGTAGAAGTAATAGTAGTAGTAGTAGTAGCGGTAATAATAGTAGTAGTAATAATAAAAAATAGTCTCACTGTGCTCGCTTCAACCATGTAAGAAAAAGACACAGGAGCAGACAGGTGTTAGAGAGCAGTGGTGTGGCAATACACTTGTAGACAAGTAGAACAAACTGCTAGGCTGGGCCAAGAAAATGCAATGAACAATTTTAAACAATCCAAAGCGTGGGTGGGAATCCAACTCATGGCAAGGCAGCCTTCCTGGTCCAGTCGTTAAGAACAATGTAGTTTTTTGGTTGCCTTGCTATGGGTTCGAACTCAAGCCGCTTCTTGAATTGTTGACAAAAGTTCATTCGTGTTTTCAGAAATCATGGACAGTGACATTACCAGACAAGATATAGGTCACGTCGATGGTCCTCGACCACATATACAAAATAATGTATTCTAACCTCCCTAGTGTATATATGAACCCTTATGATCCAGTTTCCAAGTGTTGTTAGATAGTTTTAGGGTTGCTTTCTCTAATTTTTACTGAATCCTACCCCCTTCTCGAGATTGTTTATTCCACTTATTTGCGAGGAAATATTGATTTTCCACATAAACGCCGTTGAAACGCACTCCCGAGGTCCCTTATATTCAGAGTCATCTGCCAAATTAAATGGTTTTCAGGATTTTTTTTTTAGGTAAGTCAATTTTAGGTTATTTCATAAATGATCCTATGCAATGATAAACAATTTATAGTTCAGAAAATTTACAGCTATTCATCAAGAAAAGTCGATTTAATTTAAGGAATTAACATTTTTTTATATATAATCTGAAGGGTATATAATGAGGTGTAAGTACTGAGAACAGCAGTGAATATATGAAAGAGGGGAATATATGTATAATATATATATATATATATATATATTATATATATATATATATATATATATATATATTATATATATATATATATTTAATATATATATTATGTCGTGCGAATAGGCAGACTTGCGATCTTGGCTTAGCAACGTTCATCTTGCCATATAGGAAAGTGAAAATTTGTGTATGCAATAATTTCGCAAATCATTCTGAACCTAACGAAAATATATATTTCACTGTGTTTGTTAGTATTAAATATTGTAAACAAATCTAAAATATGTTAGTTCGGGTTAGGCTAAAATAAATTGTTTTTGTTATAATAAGGTTAGGTAACTTTTTTAAGTTTCCTTTTGGTGCAAAATTATAAATTTTTACATCAACATTAATGAAAAAAATATATCTTTAAACGTATAAGAGAAAATTTTAGAAAACTTAATTTTAATGAGTTTTGCTAATTGACCAGTTTTACATATTCGGCAGACATATATTATATATATATATATATATAGTATATAATATATATATATATTTATTTTTATATATATATATTATATATTATTATATAATTCTATATATATATAATATATATATATTATATTAATATATATGTTGTGTTGTAAGTGTGTGTTATAGTGGTGTGTGTGTGTTGTGTGTGTGTGTGTGGTGTGTGTATGTGTGTGTGTGTGTGTGTGTGTGTGTGTGTGTGTTTTAGTACTATATATCAATTTTATGTATTGCATGTTTATTTAATATTTTTTTCAGCAATTTATTTATATACATAAATGATTAATTTACTCCATTTGTGTAATATTCAAATGAAATTTTTGAACCATCCACTCACCCCCCCCCCCGCCCCCATATCCTCTCCTGGTTCTACCCTCTCACTACCTGGGTCGATCCTTTTATCTTCTGGTTCTGTTCTCTCACTCACAGATGCTGTCCTTTCACCTCATTCACCGATACTATCCTCTCACTATCTGGATCTTTCTCATACCCCTTACATCTATCCTCTCACTCCTTGTTAATGTTCTCTATAAACCCGATTCTTAACTGATTCATCCCCTGGTTCGGCTTCCCCTCAACCCCCGGTCATCTGGCTCGTCCCTGGTAGCTTCACACACACACTTACTGAGCATGAGGGAGTCTCGTCAGAGCCGTCACGGCAATCGTAGACTCCGTCACAGCGTCGGGCCTCGGGGATACAAGTGCCCGTCTTGCAACGAAACTCTCCAGCCCTGAAATAGAAGGAGGCGAGGATAGAGAGATGGAACACATACACACACAGGAGCTGTGGCTCAACCTTTGTAATCACATGTAGTTGAGTACACACACACACACATGTAGGATTAGAAAGGAATCTGGATAGACTGTAAGCCTGGTTTAACAACTCGCTCCTGGAATTTAACCCCACCAAGTGCAAAGTCATAAAGACTGCAGGTCAAAGAAGACCGCAGACTGAGTACAGGTTCGGAGGCCAAAGACTGCAAACCTCATTCAAGGAAAAGGATCTTGGGGTGAGTATAATACCGAGCGCATCTCCTGAGGCGCACATCAACCAAATAACTGCCGTAGCATATGGGCGCCTGGCAAACCTAAGAATAGTGTCCCGGTACCTTGGTATGAAATTCTTGAAGACTCTGTACAACGTGCACGTCAGGCCTATATTGGAGTATGCAGCACACGTATGGAACCCACACCTGGTCAAGCACGTCAAGAAATTAGAGAAAGTGTAAAGGTTTGCAACAAGACTAATCCCGGAGCTAAGTTAGGGTATGTCCTACGAGGAGAGGTTCAGGGAAATCGACTTAACGACACTGGAGGACAGGAGGAATAGGGAAGACATGATAACGATATATAAAATACACCATACCACAGGTGGGGTTAGAACCCGCGATCAGAGAGTCACAGAACTCCAGACCATCGCGTTTTCTGACTCTCTAATCGCGGTTCTAACCCCACCCGTGGTATGGTTTGTTTGCAATCGTGTCATTACGATTTCGAGAGACATATAAAATACTGGGAAGAATTAACAAGGAGGATAGCGACAGAATGTTTCAGAGATGTGACACAGCAACAAGGGGTCACAACTGAAAGTTGAAGACTCAAATGAGTCACAGGGATGTTAGAAAGTATTTCTTTAGTCATAGAGTTGTCAGAAAGTGAGACAATCTGGAGAGTGATGTAGTGGAGGAAGGATCCATATATAGCTTTAAGAAGAAATACGATAAATCTCATGGAGCAGGGAGAGAGTGGATCTAGTGGCGACCAGCAAAGAGGCGGGGCCAGGAGCTGTGACGCGACCCACGCACGCACACCACAGAAGTACACACACACACACCACACACACACACACACACACACACACACACACACACACACACACCACACACACACACACACACACACACACACACACACACACACACACACACACACGCTTATGAAAGAACTTGGAGAAGTAAATGAAAATAGGAACAAAATTCATAGTATAAATCGAGCAACAACAAGAAAAAATTCAGCCCTGAACGATGAAAATAAAGAATAACAAACATAAATGAATGAATATATTCACAGCCTTGCAGTCCAACCTAGAGACGTCATCTTAGTTCACTCAATAATTTGTTAGTCGTAAAAATATTCCAGCTAAGTTACTTTGACTTATAGTGTACATAAAGAGGTGTCTTCATGCAGTTACTTTGGACATGGTAAGTAGATGTCTACTGGACATGACTCTCTTGCCAGCTCCTGCAGCAGGATCTTGGAAGAGTTCTGCAGCACCTCCAGGGTCGTGTTTATCTCCATTAAGAGGTTGGACGCGATGCTGGCCAACGACTTTCTTTCCCTCTCGTATCGTTCTGCAAAGTATCCAATGTTTAGCCCTGACAAATATATTTCTCTACCTACAGATAACATGGAGTTAATATTCCCATTGGAGTTTCAACAATTTGAGCATGACTGTGAGAATTTTGTGACGATGTTTGTGTGTGTGTGTGTGTGTGTGTGTGTGTGTGTGTAGTGGCGTGGGTGTACTCACCTATAGGTGGTTGCAGCGGTCGATTCACAGCTCCTGTGTGTGTGTGTGTGTGTGTGTGTGTGTGTTGTGGTGTGTGTGTGTGTGTGTGTGTGTGTTGTGTGTGTGTGTGTGTGTGTGTG